AAGAAAAAAAAGTATACTAAAAAAAGACGCTAAAATTACGTAAGCTTCTTTTAGTCTTATTCTATATATTTTTCTCTTTCTAAGTCTAACTTTTCTCTTCTCTATATTCTCTCTATGTTAGTAGAACTTTCGAAATTTAAAAAATAAGTTTACACTCTATCTTTATAATAGCTATCTACTAGTACTATTAGTACTATACTAGAAAAGTCTTCTAAGTCTATTACAAACGCTCTATAACGTATTAAAAAGAAAAAAAATACTTCTACTACTCTTTCTAAGCCTAAACTAGACTAGCTTTTAAAAATCTCTAAAAGAGCTACTAGAGTAGTTAATAGAGATCTAGAACGTAGTTCTAAAAAGATAAATTAACGTATTCTAGAAGAGAATAATCTAGACTTCTCTACTAGATCTCTATAACGCCTATTAAGAGTAGAGAAATACTCTATTTCTACTACTAAGAAAAAGCAGCTTTTAAATAAAGAAAAGGCTTTATTTAAAAGAAAATACGCTAAGAAGACTCTTAAAAATATTAGAAATATAAACTTTAATAAAGCTATATTTTTAGACAAGTCTTCTATATAGCGTAGACATAGTGCTAGGTAAGAATACGTTAGAAAGAGAAGAAATTAGAAGACTAGACCTAAACAAGTCTCTATAACTAATACTAGTACGTTTAAAAAAATTTTAAATAAGCTAAATTATTCTCTAGAAAATCTAGTATTTTTCTAGTTTTTTAGATTATTTTTAGCTAGCTTACTAACTAAGTTATAGCCTGCAACATTACTATCTCTGTTTAGAGAGCTATCTAGATAGGTAGAAGATCTAAGTTATATATAACAAAGACTCTATAAGAGCCTAGAAGCTTTATAAATATAAGATATATAAGAGAGGTTTTAACTTCTATAGTTAAACCCCTTTTTAAAAGGGGTAAGAAAGAATTCTTTTAATTTTAACTTTAAATAACTATAACTTAGTTAATTCTTATTATTTTTTAAAGAATTTTTTATATTTAGAAAGCTAATATCTTCTTCTATCTAGAGTAGAAATTTTTGTAAGATAACGCTAAGATTTATAAAACTCTAGCTATTTTTAATTAGTTTAGAAAGAATAGAATTTCTCTCTTTAAGTATTCTACTTATAGCCTAGATCTAAATTCTATAGAAAACGTCTAGAGTTTACTAAAGAATAGGCTAGCAAGAAGATCTACTAGCTTCTTAGACGTAGAAGCTAGTAAGAAAGTAGTAGATTTATTTTCTACTACTATTCTAGAAAAGTAGGTAGCTATACTATAAAAATTAATAGATAACTATATTAAAAGCTTACCTAGGTATTATAAGGTAGTAAAAAGAGCTAAGAGTTAGTATACTAAGTACTAGTTACTATATCTAGCTAGCTTATAATACAAAAAGCTTAAAAAATAACCTTTTAATATAACTATTGCAAAAATAAATAGAATAACTTCTAGTTTAAACTAGTAATAGATCTAGGTGTATATAATAGCATATTAAAATCTTAGCGAAATTAATAGTGTAAACAAAAAGATATAGGCTAAAAAGAGTAGAGCTTTTTAGTATACTTAAACACTACTAACGTTACGCAAGTTTAAGCTTACTAAGCGAAATTCTAAAGAGACTAACCTAAAGAAGACGTTCTTAGCTTTTTAAAACACTAAAAATCTTAGTTCTAGCTAGTCTAGTTGCTTAGATATATAGCTTTAAAAAAGACAACTTTTTAAATATCTCTTTCTTTTTATTACTCTACTATAGTATAGTTACATAATAGAGCTAAGCTCTTAGATAGAGAAGATATATAGTAGAGTAGATTACGCTTATTATATATTATATAAAGCTAGTACTTAATAGCTTATTAAAGCTATATAGTATATAAAAAATAAGAATATCTAATCTAACTATAATATATTAAGTATAATTCTCTTTTATAATAATATAATTACTTATATAAGTTAGTATAAGCTTTATAAAAGTAGCTAGTATAAATCTAAAGATTTATATATAGCTTTATACCTCTAAAAATTTAAAATACTATCTTTTAGTATAGCTAGAAAGTAAAGTAGCTAATTCTATTTAGAATTACTTTAGATTTTAAGTAGATAGAGTAACTTATATACTACTAGAAGTAGTACTTATTAATTAAAACTTAACTATTTTTTTTTATATTATTTCTATATATTCTACGTAGCTAATATAAAGAAAACTAATATTAAAAAGCTAGACAATTCTTTTATTACCTATTTTAGTTTACTTTCTAAGATACTCTCTATTTACGTAATAGCAAGATAGTAGTTATTATTATTCTGAACTAGCTTTGAACAGGCGCAGCATTGCGCCGAAGCAGCCTCGCGCTTCCTCTTGCGCAACACCACTCGCTTTCTTCTCCAAGTGTACCAGCTCCTGCTCTTTGTCCAGCTCCAGCTCGTTCGCGCGTCGCACCCTCTCCTTCATGTCTGCGCGATGCATGTCGCCGAGACCCATCTTCGCTTCTTCACGTTCCGAGTTCCACTGCGACAGGCTTTCGCGCGTCGGTATCGCGCGCCGTCCGACTGCAGGGCTACTTCGGTGTGGTGCCATAGCCATGTTGGGGTGATGAGCCATCGTTGGTGGCGAAACGTACTGCTGCGGAGGGCCAACATACATGCCCGGTTGGGCATGGCGATGGAGGTATGAACGGTGCGTATGCTGCGACAGAGCGCCTTCAATTGGTGAAGGGCTGGTGCGCGAGGACGATGTAGGCCACGGATCGCACGACCTCGGTTGCGCAGCTGTCAGTGCAGCAAGTGACTCCGAACGCGCTCTTCGCATTTCGCCTTGATGATGCTGATGAGCGGAGCGAGATATGCTGCGTCTCTGGTTCTGTCGTGACGGTTCAACATGAGCAATGCGCTGGGTAGGCAACGATGCCGAAGGTGCAGTCAGTTCCAGCTGCATCGGGCCTGCTGAGTTCGGTCGCGGGCGGCTCCCGTGGGCCGGGCTGGTCATTTGGCGATATCTCAGCCTCGATGGCGTGGCAACGGCAATCAGTGGAAGTTCAGCTGTATTGAACGGTTTATCGAACGAGTCAGAGTTCGTTCCTTTTGAGGCGCGATTGAAGGATCCAGCACTTGTGTATATATCGCTAGCCTCGAGACTATGCGACCAGGGACATGACTGGCTGTTCATGGTTCCAACGCTGGATCGGCGGTCAAGAGTGACGCTTGACGACGAGGAAGATGAGAAACCGCTCATTGAATAGCCGTTGGTGAGTAACTGAGGATGACTCGAGTATGATCGAAGGTTGGACCGTGAGGCAGAGCGCACTGATTGCCTTTCCATCTTGGGATAACTTCCATCTTGCGGCATGTGTTGCACGGACTGGCGGCGACGTTCCCGCGATGCTACTGCCCCTCTGTTATGAAAGCCTGAATGCTCTCGTCGGGCGTTCCAGCTTTCCTCCTCCACGTTCATCTCTCTACCATGAAGGCTCTGTTCGTACCGTTCTTGGTGGCGTTCTGTAGAATGCAAAAGCGATGCAGGAGCCGCAGCTTCGGCTTGAGAGCACTCCAAACTCGACAATCGTCGGTATCGACTTGGTTGTGTTATCACGGTCCCAGCATCCTCTCCCGCTTTGGAGGCGCATTCCCGGTCTCGCGGCGGCCTCTGCATCTCAGCAGCAAAGAGACGGAACTCAGGCGTGGCAACGTCAGTCGCTTTGAGCTCGCTGATGCTATGGAGAGTGCGCCGTCTTTCCTGTAACCGTTCTGGCTTGGTCTTAGGCTGAAACTTGGGCGATTGAACCTGAGGATGAGGCTTCTGGAGAGGCATGCTGAGGGTTGGTCTTCCTGAAGGGATGCCGCGTTACTTTCAGGCACTCCAGTTGGTCTATACCTCGTAGTCGAAGCGTTTCAAGGTTTCCTTAAGTGCTTGCAGGTTCGTGGAAGCTTTTCTTGATGCCGCGCGCCTTGGAGCGCACTATCGGTGATCTCGGAACTGAGCTGCATATCGTGCTACAAACCCTGCATACTTGCCAAGCGAGAGGACGTCGGCGGTGTGGCCGTTCCGTTGCCGTCGCACCTCGAATGGGTCTTTGGACAAGCAGACGTGGAACGGAGAGACGGATTGCTTTGCAAGTAGCGGTCAGTGTAAATGCTGCTGTTCATGAGGAGTGACACGAACGACTTGGCAAAGTCTCGATTATCCTGGGCAACATAGCATCACACGAGTTGACGTGAAGAGTAATACGGTAGTGATTATTTGAGTTGCTGCAGCGTGCGTGCTCGGGCCCAGACTCGCGCCGCCAGTGCATCGACACCGCCGAAGGCCAAATTTCCAGTGATTCGAGGCTTCGCTAGGCTGGCTATGACCATGATGAGGCTGTTGCTGCAGATCATCTCGGGAAGGCCATCTCTTCGGCGACCCAGCTGTGAGGGTCGAAGCGCGTGGCGGACAGGTGGTCCAAGTTCGTCAACCATGTTGGGTCCAGTAAGAGGGGAAAGCAACATCACATGACGAGTACAACAGCCTAAATTGCGATCTCATAGGTCGCAGTGGTCGCATCACCACGCTGGGCTCGGTACGACGAGGTGCAGCAGGGGAACGGGCCGTGAGATCGAGACGCTTGTGAAAATGACGTGGAAAAGAGCTATCGTGCTATGGAAAGTCCGTCGAATGAGAAGCGCGTGAATATTAGCTGCATTACCGAAGATGATCAATATGCCCTCACAACGCAGTCTGAGGCTCCTGTGTGAGCCGAGGCCAGCATAGCTCCCGTGAGACTTGGCAACTCTAAGACATCACACCTTCTCGCTTCCTGTAAACTCAATACTCGACACAAGTGGAACTGGTCGCGTAGTCACACATTCGGGCTCGGTTGCGGGGACACCGGGGACGCCGGGGTGCGATGGGTGGATGGGACGCGAAACTGGTAGCCGCGGAGACGTTCACTTCATTGGTGTTCGCTTTCGACAAGAACATCTGGCGTCTGGTGTATCTCGGTCCTCGTTTTCTTTACTGGGCGAGCGGATCATCTCTAGCTTTCGTTGGTCCATCTTGTGTCGAGGCGTTCTTCTCTTTTTCCAGCTTCCTTGCCTTGATGTCTACGGTCATCCGACTCATCCTCGCGCGTATCTCATCCATTCTGACCGCCATATCATACGTGTTGGGGCTGGGATCCCGACCGTGATCGACGCCGACGGCGAGCTTGTCGCGCATAGGTCGTGGTGTAGGTACGCGAATCGTGTTCGCGTCATGCTCAGTCTGCACATCAGCTACGGCAGGTCGAAGGAAAACTGGATTGCTCGTGCCATTGGCCTTCACCGGAAGCTTGCTGTTAGTATAGATTGAAGAGCAGGTACTACGCCGAGTAGTGGCTACGTCGTTCAGCAATAGAGAGTGGGCTGAGTCCGAGCGTAGGTGAGCGGGCAACGGGGAGGACGCTCTAGGTATCAGTCTCTTGATGGACTTGGGTGGGATGGGCGGAGCGTGGTCGAGATCAGGTGAAGGGCCGCTGTAATCATCGCTTGGAGTTCTCTCGGGTTGTGCCCGAGTCGCCCTGGGACGGTGAATTGAAGAAGCCGGACGGCGCGAGTGAGAAGTTGTTGCGACGCTGGATACAGTCTTGCTGTTGCTGGCTGTCGGTTGGCACCATCCCAGGCTTGCCTTCGTCGGTCGGGCATAGTTGGGCGCATCAGTGGTAGACGCAGTCGACCTCGACCTAGCTGATGTAGGCTGGGCATGGCTGGGGGCGCTCGCTACGGTCAGAGTAGGCTGGCTCCCGTATTGCACCGAAGCTGGTGGGAGTGATGGCGCAGGCGTAGGCGACTGGGATAACTGCCGGTATCGCGATGGTGTTTGCGAGGCTCGTGGGCTGTCGCGGATTGAGCTCGCTTGCGGGGTGGTCGAACCACATCGCGGTCGTGACAGAGTGGTGAACAGGCGCTTGCTCAATGAAGGCGAAGTGCGGCGGCAGCTCGATATGGCGCTAGGCAGCGAGGTGTTAGTCATGCTGGCAGGTGCAGCTGGTCCACCTAGAGTCGCGACTTCCTCCTCAGCGTCAAGGCACTTCCCCATGACAAACTCCACCTGAGCAGCAACATCGTCAAAGTCCAGCGCTTCGAGCACGTCGAGCGCTTTCATCTTGTGGGTTAAGGCTGCGCACCACATATGACTGATCGCGTTCTGAGATTGGGCTATCATCTTGTTGCGAGCCACAATGTCCGACCAGTCCCGATAGGACTGGAGTCCTTTCTTCATGTCTACGCAGGCTTTCGCGACATACTTCTTGTTTACAAGGGCCCATGGTTCTAGCGCCTCAATCACAGCAACGTTTGCTGCGTTGCCGGTGATCTTGCGCCAGATCACCAGCAGCCTTTGTAGGTCGCATGCGACGGTCAGCAAGTTATTGCTAGTTATCTCAAGTACATCTCGTATATCGCCGCAGATGTTGTCAATGGTGCTGGAGTCCACAAGAAGAGCGAAGTGAAATCGATCGATGCTGTTGATGAGCTCGTGGTAGGGGTCAACGAATAAATCAGAACCTGAGGGCGCCTCGATGGCGGTAGAGACCTCCGAGATCCGGGGGCTTGTGGAGGCCGGGATCCAGTCAGGTGTGGGACTTCGCGCATGTGTTTGATGAGAAAACCGTGTCAGTGGGCTTCCGAAGTGGGCGGTGGTAATGGTCGCTGATGGGGAGACCGGGTCGGCTATCGGAGACGACGATTGGGTCTCGGGGCGCTGGTCTTCCTGCGTATACTGTGCAGGTATCGGTGAAGCCACAGGGGCAGATATCAGCTCCTGGGTTCCCATCCCCGTAGAAGGTCCGCTGCTCCCATGGCGCCTCAAAGCAGTCCCAGTCGCCTCAGTATCCTTCGATCGGTTGTCGCTTTTGTGGACACGCTCCCAGAGACCCTTCGCCGCCCGCTTGGCCCAAGATACCTTGACATCGTGGCCGTCCTGACCTTTACGCGACGCCATGTCAGCATCCCTATGGTTCCAAGTCTTCCCACACGGAATGTACTTACCTCCCGCGACCGTATTCGCACGTCTGCGCCATCTCCGCAGGCCGCTATTCTCCGCGGCCTCGGGATCCATTCGGCGGGCAACGAAAGCGCTGAACGCACCCATTTTGTCGTCGGCGAACTGGGTATTTGAAAGAAAGATGACAGGCTTGTTCCGGAGAAGTAGGACTGGTTGCTGGGGGAGGCTTCTCGAATGAGGTGGGTTAAGTTGTCAGTACGTATATGAGATGTGGTGTGAAGCTGTCAGTCGCGCAATATTGCGGGTTGCGCGCATACGAGACCCTCGCCATTGTGGCTCTCGTTACCAGACATCTCGGTGTGGAGAGGCATGGCACAGCGGGTTATTGGCTCTGCTCGCTGGTCGCTGGTCAGTTTTACGTATTTTGAATTCATCGAGAAAAGGGTCCGGGAAGCCTTTTCGTGGCCAGCGCAATGGCAAATCTACCGGTTATCAGGTTTGTCGGCCTCGATATATCTGTACGAGCCTCTGCCCTGCGCATGTCAGTCTGTCGCAACATGCAGTATGGCGATGCGCAGCTGCAAGCTGCAGGCGCTGACAAGCAGCTCCAAGCAACATGGCGCAGCCTGCATTCGGTACCAAAGTATGCACAGCATGGAACGCGACCGCCTGGCAAACAAAACGGGTGGTCATTATCGATTCTTTTATTGTCGCATGCTATCCAAGCCCCTATAAGGCAACCAGTGTAACTCCTAAACGCTCAAACATGTATCCCCATATAACGCTGCCCCGTTGGTCGCGGTCGGCGCCGGCTGCGGGGCGGGTTCGTGACGGTCGTGGAACGAGGGGGAATGCAACATCCATCAAGCACTATTCACTGTTAAGTTCAGTTACTACGTGTCTCGCCAGGACGCTGGCGAAGAAGAAAAGACGAGGGGGGAGGATAGGAGGGGTGGTGGTCGAGGCCCGGACTGCACGGCGAGCGGGAACGCGAACAATGTCATTCGAAGGAAGAGGGCAACGATAGTTGTGTTATTGGCTGCGTGATGCCAATTAGCACTCGTCCATGCTCATCTTCTAGAGACACTTGGTCGCCTTCGCTCGCTCGTACAGTCATGTATAGGCTCGATGTAAGCGAAAGGGCGAAGGCAGGGGTCGACTTACTACAAGCTCAAAGTCAAATCGCCGCGGATACTCGCTTTGAGTTCAATCTCAATCTCCAGATTCGCCTCGAGTGTCAGCTTCAGTCCGTCCTGGTCCTTGAGCTCGCTGCCCTTTTGCTGCGGCTCCATGCGGTAGGGCTGGTTGGGGTCGGTGCCGCGCATGGGGATCTCGCCTCGCATGGCGCGGGCGTATGTGACGGGCCCGTCCATGGATGTGCTGTCCGGGCCGATACGCTCGAACATGCCCATCTTCTGGAGATCGCCGTTTGCATCGGCTTCCTCGAGGGCTTCCAGCGACGTCGTGTGCATGTATTTGCCGTTCTTCTTGTCTTCTTCGATGCGGTTGCGGCGGGCGCGGCGCGACGAGGAGCGCGACCGGGCGGATTGCAGGCCCGCCTCGCGCTTGTCCTGCTTGGCCTTGTTCACAGCCTTCTCCTGCTGCATCGTCGACCGCTCGTGCGGCTGGTTCTCATAGTCGGAGTCCTTGTCGGCCATGTCGTCGGGTATCCTTGCTATCATGCAAGGCCTCGGGCAATTGGAGGAGGCTGTTCTGGATGGGGATTGTCTGCGTGAGGGAGGTGAAGAATTGCGCAGAGGTGTCGAGGTAACGGCGATGGATGCGAGCAAGATGTGAAGTCAGCAAGGTCGAGCAGCAAGCGGAGCTACTACACGCCTACGCACGCCACGACTGGTACGGGCAGCTCCACTCCAAAAACAAGATTACTCGCAACGGCCTGGTCCTCTGTAGCCCCCAAAGCAAGGACGCCGCCGCCGCAAGCTTGCACCCCTGTCTTTTCATCCGTCGTACCGTCTCACCGTTTCAGGCTCGCTACGGATGACGTCAAGCCCCCATCGAGCGACACCAGCGATTGCTGTCCCAATCGGGTTGACAGCCGCTGCGTGACGTATGTCAAGACGATGCATCTGCGCGCGTCTTTGCAAGTCGCCCGACATTTGCACACATGCTGACGACGCGCGCAGCGATGGCGAAGCATAACCAGTCTCGCGCCCACGCGAGTGGCTAGTCCGCCCGCCGATCGCTTAACGCGGACCGTTGATCTCGCGGGCAACGGCTGTGCAATACTCGATCCTGGGCATAATAGTTGTCAAGTTTAGACTCAGGCTCGGATACCTTACTCCATGCTCAATGAGTTGACGTCGCATGCGCTCTCGGTTACTGGGGTATTATTACAGGGCCTGGTAATAGCACGCCTAGTAGAGACATCCCCTGACGCTGCGATGATCATGACGAAGTTGTAGGAGATTACAGAAATACCAACACCATCAGTATGCCAGCGCGATGATTCAGCAGTGAATGGTGGTGCAAGTTGTTCATTGTGTCGTATTATACTGCAATACGTATCGTAACACTACATGCAAAACTCCAAACCGAACGCCATTATGATCTCCCAATATAACAATCGATGCGTTTCGTGCATTCATCCTCGGCCATCCTCTAGTTACTGCGCAAAATTAGCATTTGGCTTCGGTGACAAACGACTGCGTGCTTGACTTACAGCAATCCAAGCGTGAGATCACCGTGGATCTTGGCCTTCAACTGGATCTCAATGTCGAGGTTGAGTTCCAGGCGCAGCCTCAGCTGCTCACCTCCGTCCTTTCCACCCTCCTCTTCACCGCCGCCGCCGCCAGTCAGACCTCCGAGGGCCTTGCCAGCGGTGTCTCCAACTTGGTTGACGGCGTTGCCGGCAGTGTTTTGGACCATTTCGCCGGCTCCACCAACGGCATCGCCTCCAGGGACGTTCTCGGTGATGTCGTCTAGCGGACCTCCGCCCTTGCCGCCCTTCTTTTGGCGCTGGCGGTTGCGACGGCCTCCAGATTGGGACACGTCGGATCGCGCGTCAGACTCGGCACCGGAGTCTGCGCCCCGTCGGCCACGGCCACGCGACTGGCGGCGTCTCGATTGCGACTTTGACTTTTCTTGTTGGGGTTCGTCGGATTCGTTGTCAGCGTCGCCGCCGTTGGTTTGCTTCTTGGATTCTGCGTCCTCTTGCTCAGCTTTCCCTTCGCCATCGCTTTCGGGGGCAGGAGTGGCGTCAGGAGTGGGCTGCTGTTGAGGCTTCTTTCCGCCCAGCTTCTTCGGCGTCTTCCTTTCGGTTTTCTTACTCGATGATTCCGCACTGCCCTTTGCGCCTACCGAGGCGTTGGCATCCGCGTTTCCCTCTCCGGAGACAGACTGCTTGGTCTCTTCAACTGTGTCCGCCATGGTGCTGGTTGGATGGTCTTTGGGTGGGTGGGAAGTAGTTAGACGGGTGATGCGTGACGAGCTGAAGGTGCTTCGGAAATTGTTGCAAGTCCAGAGCCGCGGCGCAATTCGTTAATAAGAGAAAAGCGGCCTGGGAACAGGAACCGGTTTGAAGCTTCAAGGTACCTGCTACCCCTGCCGCACTCGAGCCACCCGTCATGCAGTCTGACGCACCATGTGGCACCCACATCCACCCCACCGCCAGCGTCCCAAAACTTGACCCCATCCCTGCGCGCTGCCAACCTGATTATTTTAGATCTGAAATCGTGCTTGCGACAGTCTAGCTGTTCCGCTCAACCCGATGCGCTGCGAGCTCGTGTGCCTCTGGTCTCGCTTGCTCGTCATTGGCGGCCGCTCCAAGCCCAGCAGCGATGCATTGAGCAACGCGTCAGCTGAATGCGCTTGACATCAACGCTTTGGGACATGCTGTGGCACGGGCGAGGCCTCGATCAGTGGTCTGGCGGAACGTTTACCCACAGGGTGCGGGAGACCGTTTAGTGCTGGCGTGGAAATGGGAACGCGTCTTCATAGCGTGCACAATAGATCTGAGGTAGCGCAGCGTCGAAAGAATCCCGCGATAAATTCGATATCATGAGCGTTGTGCTAACGATCGTTGGGAAGACGCAATCGCGGGGCGCACCAGATCTTCCCCGATGGCCGGCCCGAATTGCGCCGGTCTGGCGGGTATCGTGACGACGGCATTTCCAATACGCACCTCCTTCGGAGCTCAACGAGAGCAACCAGTCAATTGGACACCAGCATACTACTATTCCAGCATGACATCCCCAGAAGCTGCAGATGTAGCCGCAAAGCAGCGGATCATCAAGCACATGAATGCAGACCACCACGACTCCGTACGCGCCGCCCGCTTCATGCACCATTGATGTCGAATTCGAGTTCCAATCCTAACCTTGACCGTAGATACGCCGGTACGCCGAAGCGTACGCTTCCAAGTCCATGATGCAGAGTCGCTCGGCGCAGATGGTCGACATTGATCTGAACCAGATGGTCCTGAGCTGTGGTGGGCAACAAGCTGTCATCGCCTTCGACCCACCGATGAAGGCCATGCGCGAGGCTCGCGAGCGGCTTGTTCAAATGGATAAAGACGCTCTCCAGACCCTGGACCGAAGCGACATCGCCATCACGAAGTTCGTGCCTGCGTACGTGCGTCCTGCTCATCTGTGGAATTTTACGCAATGTGTGCTTGCCCTGCTCTTGCTACCGCGGCCGGCAAACTGGCAGCCTGGATCGCTTCTCTACGACACCGTGTTGTATCTTGTGCCTGGCTTCGCGAGCTTCGTCGCTCGAATCGGCTTTACGGTTTGGGCCATCACGGTACCTATCCACATAATCGAAGCCATCATCATGTCGAGGAAGCTTGCAAGACACGGATGCACATTCCTTGATGCGGTCTGGTGGAAGTGGGTGGGTACGTGTCTCGTTGAAGGGTTCACGTCCTTTCTCAGGCTGAATGCGCTCATCGCGGAGAAGAAGAAAGAGAAGGACGCGAAGAAGCATTAAGGACTACAGAGTTTTTGATTCGAAGGCATCTTTCGTAGTCTAGCATACTCAACTTCATGAGATTTTCTCAGACGGCGATGCGCCCATATACCATACCGGTCAGGACTTCTCCTTGGCATCCAATCGAGCACTGCGAACGTAATCCTGAACTCATCGAGTTGGTAATACAAGAAACGGTATATGCTTGCAACGCCAACTCGATGAATCCGGCATTACGTTCGCAAAGAATGTTCTTCGTAGAGTCTACACTATGCACGTCTCTATATTATCAGTTAGATACGCTCCCGTTGCGAAGAGTTCATCGCATGTGTTGCGTTTCGACATGATAAGCACCTCATTCGATTTCGTGATACCCAGCTTCCTCACGAATCCTATACTCGCCTTCCCCGTCGAGATAGTTGACTTTCCATGCTGATTTGGTAGGGATGCCGGTGGCAGGGAAGTAGTTTGTGTTAGCAACGATCTCGGTTTTGTGTGGATCTTGTTGCATAGTACACTCATATACGACATATTGCGCGCGGTTGATTGGTGCAGAATTGTGTCCATGGACGGTGAGGTACGTCCAGGCCACAGTAATGTATCATGGGTGCTACATTGGTCAGCATCGAGCAAGTTGGAACGGCTCAACCACAAAACCGAAATAGCAAATTTTCGAAATCCGTATAACACCTGCGTGTTCCTTTTTCATGCCGTTCTTGCGGACACACTTAACGTTCTAAGATTAAGCTGAGCTGATACCGACACCTGGCGACACGGCGCACGAGAAGCCTCGCCCCATACCGCCGCGATGCCTCCAAAGCGAAAGAACGAAGCAGTCACGAATGCAAAGCCTGCCAAGAGGGTTAAGACAGGCGGCGCCTCTACATGCGCACATCCTCTGAATAAGCCGGCCGGCGATGAGACACCCGCGAACGACGACATCAAGAAGGGAAAGCGCAAACAACCCCTCTGCCAAAGTCCACGACCATCTACAGCTACGACAGATGGTACAGCTTCCTCTCCATTCATGGCCCTACCGACCGAACTGCGCTGCCAAATCTACAACTACCTAGCAGCCATCGTCTACGACCCCGTTTTCCCCGAGCCGGGCATCTGCAGCTGGGAAGTATGTCGGATGCCAACCGCACTGCTTCAACTCAACAAGACTATATACGAAGAGGTGAAACATCCCGCGGTACAGAAGCCGTTACAGAAGGTCAACGATGAGCTTGCGCCCAAGATCATTCTCGGTCCGACGCGCGCTGAGATAGACCCTGTGTACGTCGCGCTCTCGAATTCCTTCCATCTCGCCGGCAAACAACTCCGTACGTACCTGGATGGACCACAAAAGCACGGTACTGCGGTCAAATATGTTAGCCTGAAGATCGCATCGTGGTACAATGACACGTATCTACGGCAGCAAGTACAAAACGGGAATATGAGCGCTTCCAGTGCGCAGACCAAGTGCAAAACCAAGCACTTGCACAAGTTTGTGAAACAGACTTTGAGAAGAATGGCGCTCAGGAAGACTTGCGAGGTTCGCATTCGACTCCTGAACCACCCACTGGGGCCGCTTCATAAGCGAATATATAAGCTCGGTGATCCATTCTGTAACTACACGGAGTACGAGAGATTGGCCGCGAAAGACACTATACGGCGAGCTCTGAGTGTCGGGATGAAGCGCGAACTCAAGACCGTGTACACAGCAGCGCGCGCAGACGCCCACAAAGGTATTCTGAAGATGATGGCGAACCACTTTCGATCGCAGAGGATGAACATCACGTTCTCGGTGGCGCGCGCGAGAGATCGGCGCTTGTTCGACATGGCCAAGTCACTCTGTTGAGTGTTTTGCCGCAGGGGATGCAGCTCTACGGCAGCACAAGGATATTCAGTAGTCCCAACATATTGGACAAGCCCGGCCATTTACGCTAGAATTACACATCTTGCGTAACTCTTCTGATCCTTTGCCGATACCTACGTGATAGTTCCAACCGGGAGGTATGTGTAGGACCAATCGAGTTTCTTGCTGTCAGCTGGGGTCCTTGATACGCGAAGGCGATGGCGGGCATGGCTGCTGAAGTTGACCGTCGCGTCGAAATTGCAACAATGTGAAGATGGGAACCTCCCGCTACGGGAATGCGCGATAGGACGTAAGCTGCCGACCATTGCAGTTCACATTGCTTACACAACAACATGAAGATTGAGAGCATTTCAACGATAGCGACAAGGCCGACGTGGGCAGCAACGATCTAACGAGTGCGGTCCCAGACTCTATACCGAGATCACTGTGCCATCCTCTACTGTTGGCTATACTCTCATAGCACCGTATGAGACCGAATGCAGTCTCCACACACATATTGTCCAGTTGTATTGCGACGTTGTCTTCCTGGCGTGCACCGTGGCGCATGTTCGATCGCGCGTTCTGGGGAAATTCGCGGAGGTGTACGAGAGTGCATCGCGCCGAAGGAGAATGTTTCGTCATGCTCTGGGTGACATCAGTATCCAGGTGCAGTTTGCATTGCGCACACCCGTGTAATCGTGTCCGCATCTATGCCGTTGTGAATGTGTGTCAGCATATGCGCGGGAACGTAGTCAGAAGGCGGCGGTTGGTGTTGATGCATGAGGCCACGGTCGTTGGGAGGGCACGCAGATGCGCGTCGGCGATGGTTGGAACTCAGACATGTGATATGGTGAATGCTGCCCTTCGTTTGCGACACCTCGGCACCAGGCAACTCGGCCAAGAGTTTAGGAGGATAGAACCTCTTTTTCGTTGGGAACCGGTGTGTAGGGCGGATACGGAGTCGAGCGCTCAGTTCTTTCGGGTTGAACCATGAGGGAGTGCCCAAGACTTGGAAGCAACGTGTCTTGCGGATGTGTCTTGGGCGGCGCGCAGAGCATATTTCAGATCCCTGGTCTTGGGACGTCCGATGGATAGAAGGTTCGGCATTGCCGGCCATCACGCTTTGTTGCGGAGGCCATAGGGACTTAGACTGGACCGTGGAGTATGGGGGCTCGTAGTCCAGTCCTGGGGTCAGTGCGGGTATGAGGGGTGTTGCGACGCGCACAGGATGCCCGCGGGCGCTGACTTCGCATTCGTATAGTATTTCTCTGTCGGCGGGGAACGGTCTAGTCCGCAGGGAGAGACCCATGTATGAGTCGCGATGTCCGATGTACGTAGGTGGTGCAGTCGTTGGGTTGTTGGTGCTCACGTCGGCGTTGCCGCTATCGATAATGGCAGTGTTTCAAGGAGCAGCTAGCCGTTCCCATCGACGCTATGACGTCGGTCTTCACGCCTCACCACCGTGTTGGCGCCTGTCGAACCTTATTCATGTCCTAATTCTGTACCACACACGACCACACTCTTCTTCCTCTTGCTACTCTTTCTACCCGTCATCGTCAACACCTTGTTGCGAACCCTCGACTGTACTTGACGTCCTTCTTGGGCATCTCTCTGGACTGTACTCACTGAATGCATTACTACATACTTACAAATCCTCGAGAGCGTAGAGTGGCGCGTTGCGCACGACGGCTCATTCAACCTCGCGCACGGATATAGTACTCCGATGGTGTACTGCTAATACTCTGACTTTCACGACGCTTCTCTACAAACCCTCTTCAGCCTACGATCTGTCGCACAAAATCGATTTCCACAGATCGTGAAGAAATTCCGGTTTGTTAGTGCGAACATTACCGTAAAGTTTGACATCGGATACGCTAACGACGTCTAGGTCACTCTAGGTATGAAACTACGATCGGGCTTACTGTGAACCCTCGACATACCACGATGCAGGCTCATGTCCTATTATCAACAAAAGTATTCCTGTTATACAGCGATGAATTAAGAGACCTCTACGCGAACAAAAAGCAATGATGACGACGGCGATGCGCGATGGGAAGGTTAGACGTAGCTTGCAGCGGGCCGTTCGCCTCGACCCGCATCCTTGGCTATATGTCTCGACACCACGACCCAGACTCGTCCAGAACACGCAGCGCTCGAAACCCGAAGTGCGCCCGTGCACACAAGCGTAGAATATTGCTTCCACTGAAGGGTCATGCCTCAGGCCAAGTGTATTTGGTGGCTGCAGGAAAAGGCCCTTCCCAAGTTGTCTTCGCCCAAGCTGAACGCAGGTGTGTAGTATCAACGGTGAAAGAACCTCTTCGCCAGGACTAGCGCTTCCGCATCTCTACACCGACGTAACGCCGCTGGAATCGTTCGATATCCGCAGCTTGAACTCCACGGTTGTAACGGCGGCCCACTTAACTATATATGTGAGACCGTACCCCAGAAAGCGGCACGATATATCGGCTGCACTTGCCCACCTGTTCTCCAACTCTTGAGTTATCTTATATTCTCTTGTCATCTCTTGTCTGTTCCTCTCTTGGCTCATACTCTTCTCTCGACATCTCCTCCTCTCTTGGCTCAACCTCTTCCCTTGGCTCAAAGTCTTGTCGTGACTACTACACATCCTCTCTTGACCCCTACTCCTGCTCCACTCATCAACCATGGAGGACGCTACCTGGAAAGAGACCCGACCAGGTCGATGGGAGCGCGCGCAAACCTACCTCGAGAGAATCAACATACTCACCCGCAACGTCCCCAACGCCATCGGCCGCGACAACTGGGCCAAGAACGCCGTTGCCAAACTCGAATTTCACCCGGACATCAAAGACCCTGCTGCCTACCTGCGGACGGCCTGGAAACAAGTCCGCTACAACCACCCAGAGATTGCCGCATTCCCATACAACGGTCGATACATCTACCGCGTCGGAGACGAACCCTCCATCGCCTTGTGGGTCTCGGCGACCTTCTCCGTCGCCGAGGGCAAGACTGTTGATGAATTGCTCGGACGGATTCCACGGAACGAACAGATGATGTGCTACTTCCTTCCCGACACATCCGAAGTCATGATCTGGTCGCCACACTACCGCGTCGACGCCCGCGGCGCAATCTTCTGCCTCAACCACCTCGTCGAGTCTCTGGCCAACATGAACCCCAACCTAGTCTTTGGCGGGTGTGCCAAGAACCTGACGCCGAGCATGGAGTTGACGCTTGGAATCGGGCACGAGAAGACACCAGAGATTGAAGCGCAGGCTGAGAGTCGTCTTGCAGCACTAGAGCCCCACAAGCCAGCCCTGGAGCTGACACCTACGATGAAATCGCAGAGACCGGGTTACACTCAGCGACATTTTGTCAAGCTGTCCAAGCGCGACACCAAGACCGTCATGGACAGTTGCGAGACGCGCGCTCTGGCCATCGACGTCGCTCTACACGCCGCCCTGATCAGCTCCGTTGCCAAACTCGCACAAACAAAAGAAGCACGAAGCTTCATGGCGTCCTTCCACTCCAACCTCCGCACTCTGATCCCAGAAGGCGCAGCGCCAGAAAACTCGCCCACAAGCTACACCAGCGTCATCACCACAGAAGTCATCGTCTCGCCAGAAACCGACTTCGACTCTTACTACTCGCAACTCGCACCCGTGTATGCCGCCGGCTACGCGCCGTACCTCCCGTCATCGCCGTTCTTCCACCAGCGCCTCGAAGAGACGCTGTACGTCAAGAAGTGCGAGGCGGACGGATCACCGCAACCCCGCTTTGCTTTCCTGGGCGAAGTAGACGAGCAGGTCAGCAAGAACATCGGCGACGGGCTTGTCAAAGTCAGGGACTTCTGGCTGGGCGCCGAGACCCTGACGATGCGCATGATGGTGCACACGTGGATCTGGGAGGGCCAACTCGTCCTTAGCGTCTGCTTCAACGAGAGCTATTGGGATAAGGAGCAGGCGGCGAGTCTGCTCGGTGGCATGCAGGATGCGCTGATGGGGGTTGCGCTGATGAAGTCATCGAGGGTGGATAGTGCGTCCGGGTCGAAAACGTCGTTGGTGGATGTCAAGTTGGCGGAACTGACGATATAGATTGCTTCGACTGCGTAGCTAAGATTTGATAATCTCTATTTGTAGTGCACGATACCATGAATAAGAACGTTTCCTCTTGTTAACTCACGCAAATGCATGTGATATCGATCGCCTGATATGTAGTCTGTATGGTAATGAAGTTTGGTGTGGTCCGCGCTGATGTCCGCAGACGAGTGCTTCAAATATAGCAAGGCGACTCTCACTCCTTCCGGCCCGTGAACATTGCTAGTCATGTCCGCATCTGGATTGGAGTTTTATCGCTCGTTGCCTAAGGCATACAACTACAAAGCCACTACCTAGGCGTACACGTGGGTTCAGTCGTGTGCAGCGGAGCAACGGCTAATGTGTTCAAAGCCTACCGAGAGTACTTGACTTGCCTGGGGTTCAGCACACCATCCGCGTAACGCCTCGTCATACATATGCTGGATGTACTACCTAGTCTACGAGGTTGTGCCAAAGTCCGCTGTGGCCGACAACATCCCGCGGATGCGGTCACCGCTATATTTCCTGTCATCGCCATATTCCCTTAGACCAGTTTCAAGATTCTGGAGACTCTTCTCGATAGCCTCTTTTCCTTGAGACTCCATGAAATCCACGCAGGCGATCGGGTACTCGTAAGTCATCTTGAGGGTGAAATGTGGTTTCAACTTCCACGAGTCCATGATTCCGTCGTCCTTGTTTTCATCGTCGTTGGACTTAATGTCGCTTCGACATAGACCAGCATATCTTTGGGCGTCTTTCCAACTGGTTATCCTACTCTCAATCCCGTCCTTGTCGAACCATAGCTCCATCTGCTTGGAGTAGGGAAACTCTCCAAAGCTGTGAGTATGTAGTGACAGGGAAATATAGTTTTTCGATACACGTCGTACGACAACATGTATGTTCTCTTGGTCGGGTATCTCTTCACCGATTCGCCCCGGTACTCCAACATTT